CCAGTGGCTGCCGTCGAAGTGCCCTGCAGCAGCAGTGCGATCGGAAGCATCCGCAACGAGCGCGACCACATCCTGTCTTCACGGGCAGACGCGAACCTCAAGGCAAAGTATTAGTATTGCAAGTACTTAGTGCTGATGCACGACACAAAGACACACGCGCACCTTCTGTACCTAAAAGACCTAAGGCAGCTTTAGATTGAAGTGGCACATCAAATGCGTCCATATCAGTCTGCGACACGGACCGTAGCGCATCCGGAATCTTGTTGCGCCGGTCCTGGAGAAGTCCTGGGCTTGAGTCAAACTTATGCAGCTTTGACGTTTTCTCTCTGCAACAGATACAAAGCTACAGCAGCTGACAGACTTTGCCCTCTTTACCTTTTAAGGGTACTAGCTACTTTGAAAGGGCCAGTAAGCCCATGGCGTCCTCTCTCGCGCGCATAAAAAATATGTGGCGCTTTGTTCTGGCAAGTGAGTCAGAATCTGCAGAACAATTTTTTGCATAGGCCCAAATCTAAGCAGTGGGGCGATCTATTTTGATCCGCCGACACTAATTGCGCGGTCGTTAGGCAAGCTGCAATGCAGTTTTCTATAAATAATATGAGTCTTGGTGTGTGATTGGCGTTCATTTTTATGTTTCCTCGGGGACAAGGATGCAAAAAAAAAGTAACGACCTCGAACCCTATTCATGTCAAGTTTCCTCCTTCTCAGATGTGTCACTGAAAAATAGAACAATGCACAGCGAAACCCATCATAGCTCAAAGAACCCTGGTGAACTCATCAGTGGCGAGGTGCCCAGCGTCCCTGGAGGAGAAAAACGAGGGTAAAACTAGAAGGAGTAGCTGATGCTACCGAACTGACCATGAGAAATTACAGCGAAGCGTCATGCAAAAATAAAAGGTGTAGCAGGAGCTAGAGCTACTGATCTGACACTGAGGAATAAACGATAACAGTGAGTGTAGGACGGCCTTCTACACTTTACATGACAAATATCCGAGCCTTCTAAAAAATGCGAACATGCAACAGAAGGCCAAGCTTCGTGGACCTTATCATCGACGTTTGTACTTTCAACCATTTTGAAAAAACGAAATAGAAACGTTATGCTGGGACGAGCTACCACTATCATAGATCGCATGTACATGTAGACACTTAAAGAAGCAGAGATGAAATAAGTGAAAATATAATGCATAAAAGCTTTCTTGTTGAGAACGAAAGCGGCAGCGGACAGAGACTACGTGGTGACTGTCGCACTCCTCGTCAAGAAGGCCGGGCTGGTATCCACTTGCCTTTGCAAACGTAGTACCTGATTAAGAGAAGAGAATAGGCTGCCGGCACGAAGTGCGCAGAAAAAAATCACAAAGCTGCAATAGAGGATCAAGAAGCGCTACTATTGCACAATCATATCAGGCGTTCCAGGAACAAATTAGTACCACGCGTCGCGACGAGCTGACTCGAGAACGCCAGCCCCCTTCGCCTGTGTTGTTCCTCCATCTTGTCCAACTATTGTTTCGCCTCCCCAGTGGCCGGCAACTTCACCAAAACACAGTCGGGGCTCGCGCAGTCCAGGGGCTTTGCAGTAGCCAAATTGGTAGACGATTCTTCGCTGGATTTGCCGGACGCACCGCTGAGCCCGTTGCCGTGCTGCCGTGTCAG